TTGAAACCCTGGCATGGCGCTAATTAAAAATCCGAAACTTTGTGACTTTTATTTTCGGCAAAGCCGAGGAAGGTAAATGTTGAGGTAACGGCAGGCTGCTGTCTGTCTGCTGTGCGTGCTGCGCAGGAGCGCGTCTCCTCTCTGCTGCTGGAAGAGGATTTAAATCAGAAGCTCTGCTGCACGCGCTTTTCACTTTATGCTACAGTCTTATGGTGCCCCCTGCCTTAAAATTGGGCAAAATAGCTATTTGGGCTAGAAAAAAAAGCCAATGTACATACGCATCATATTAAGATTGTCAGTATTTTGCATGCTAAAAATAAAATTAGAAGAAAAACTTAAACGTAAAAACTGTAAACGAAAATGAAAAATGTTGTTGTACAAACGGAAATAGGCTAAATAAGTTTCGGTAGAAAAACTAGAATTACTAAACTTAAATGTAATGTTAAATATAAATAACCTATTAAAAATGACAAAAGCACGTAACAAAATTAGGCCTACTAAAAAAATTAAAACAAGATATATTTTAAGCTAATTCAATAGCCTAAATATTATGTATATATAAATCATACTAAATTAGTTTTAATGTGGTAGTTGGCAATTGGAGAAAACATTCATATTCATAATGTTAAATTGAATTCAGGACACTCCTAGTCATTTCAATGGCAAAAAAGTGTCCCAGTCGACCTGAATTCACCCCAATATGTCCATACAAATACAAAATGCGTACTATTATAATTATGTGCTCCTTCAAACTAAGAAATGTTTATGCTCTACTAGGGGATGAGTTTTATTAAAAAGTTTTTCATTTTGTTGTTTCAAATTAGACCTGATTTTTTTAACACCTTCATCATTTAGTCCAGTCGTGCCTCAATGCAGTTTGATCAACATTTTTCCTTGTCTTACTACCCCTCCTTGTGGTCTTTAATAGTATAACAGCATCCTTTTCATATCTTCTCACTGCTTTGAGATACTATATCAATATTGATCATAGTACACCTCCATGATCAATAAGGGTGAGTTTAACAGAAGTGGGACAAATAAGTTCCCTTATGTTTCCCTTTATAAATCAGCACAATGTAACAGTCATTAATAATTTAATTAATAAGAACATTAGTCAACAAAGAAGGAAGCAGTCACAATAGAAAAAATATATATATAAAGGGGAAAGAAAAAAAGGTACAAGATGGGTATATAATTGTGACAATCATGTAATTTGCCTGACAACATTGTAGTGGGCGTGGTTAGGCAACATCCAACCAATCACAGCCAACACACTGGCAAATGAGTATGCTCTTCCTAAAGGTCTTTATAAAGAATACAAATAAGATATTTAAATAAATAAATATTTTGTTCCCACTTTACATGTTTAATAAAATGGATATTGATCATAGTACACCTCCATGATCAATAAGGGTGAGTTTAACAGAAGTGGGACAAATAAGTTCCCTTATTTTTCCCTTTATAAATCAGCACAATGTAACAGTCATTAATAATTTAATTAATAAGAACATTAGTCAACAAAGAAGGAAGCAGTCACAATAGAAAAAATATATATAAAAAGGGGAAAGAAAAAAAGGTACAAGATGGGTATATAATTGTGACAATCATGTCATTTGCCTGACAACATTGTAGTGGGCGTGGTTAGGCAACATCCAACCAATCACAGCCAACACACTGGCAAATAAGTATGCTCTTCCTAAAGGTCTTTATAAAGAATACAAATAAGATATTTAAATAAATAAATATTTTGTTCCCACTTTACATGTTTAATAAAATGGGACAGTTTGACAAACTGTTCTGATCAAGAACCGATTTTAAGAACTAGAACCATGAGCCAGACAACACAGGAAAGATTTTTAAATCATTTTATTTTCCATTGCACAGTAATTTCTATCTACAGAAATTCTAAATTGTTTGTGGCAGCAGATAGTCATAAACATCCACGTGAAATTTGCATAAAACTGTACAAGAAATTGGCTACAATGAGAAAATACTGCAACCCACTGATAACCGTTATAATCAGGACAGAAAATGAATGAGGCTCTTCTGCGTGTTAAAAGTGTTATAATTCAGGTAAGAATGTTCTGTCTGAGACAAATAAAACAATTCACTTAAAGTCAACATGAAACATTACAAAATGAATAAATTAAATTAAAGCCAAGAAAGCAACAATAATTTTTTCTCCTTAGTCATGAAAGATTACAACGGGCAAACAACCAGGTTCACATCAAGAGTGAGTCTGAAACCTCTCTGAAACAGACATGAATGAACTGAAGTTGTGATCAATAAATTCTGCTGGAGTTAGAACACTTATTACTGACATTTACAGCATTACAGTTCAACACGGCTGATTGGATACTTTATCGATTGACAATGACAAAATAGCAACCTAGGACATCAAATATTTCCTGGAAATACATGAGCCAACATCTTGGAAAACAATTTTTGGTTTTGAATTGTATCGACCATGTCGGGGCCTAAAATGTATTTTCCAACACACATAATCAAATGGATGGCATTTTTATAATGAACCACACTTATCTGCGATCATTTCAAGGAAAAGCTCACTCACTCGTGTTGAATTCAAAAATCACCCCGTTGTGTCAATGATGACATGAACAAACAGACCACACAACAGAAAACAAAGATATGAAGACAAGTAACAGAGCGCAATGAGCTCAAAATACATCCTCCTCAAAGCATATATAAAAATAACTTTTTAATAATCGATGATTAAAAATATGACAAGGATATCTATTCAGGGCAATACAGTACTGCAGAGAAAAATACACATCGTACAAATATAATTTAATTCGTTAATCAGGAGAGATGACATACGAGCGAGATATTCAAAAACAAACCCGGTCTTCAGAAACACTATAACACCATGGCATGAAAACACATCTACAGAGAATATAGAGTCCAACACAGAGAGAAACATTTAGAGTCTGAGAGAGATTGGCTTCGTTTTGTTTTGTAATTCTTTTTTCCCCCCATTTTTCTTTGTTTGAAGTACGGCAAACACATGAAAGGCAGACTAGCACACAGCCAAAAACATCAGAAAAGTCCTCAACACTGTTACTGGTGAAATATGCAGTGGTACTTCAGACACACACAGCTGTCGAACACAGTCAATGGAATACAGAACTCAATGAAAGAAAATCTTTGGCGTTTGAAAAGATATGGCAACTGTCTTAGGGTCAGTATGGCCTGGACCACTCGCAATTTATGCTCCCAGATTGTCGAACTACTTCTTTCATTCACAGAATGGCAAAAAAAACTTTGGGCAGAGAGGCAAGTGAACATCGGTATCTGGAACAACAATGGATCATGTGATGAATGCAACATATATAGCAGCATTTCTTGCAAACCACAAATAAATATAATGGCACTAAAATGTGGTTTCAAGGGAGAAATGGGACAAGAAAGACATTTGCTGTACAATTTTTATTTTGTATTTAATGTTACTAAATTCTAGTTTTCTGGTTTGGAATGTACACTAACACTCATTGTAGTTGTTTTCACAGATGGAGATGATCTTGAAGTACGTTCTGTGCCACTGCATTACACATTAAGCACCAGATAGAAACATGTTATCCTGACATTCAGAACTACAATGAATATTGTTTCCAAGTCAGTGAAAGCGTTCCGCCCTACTTCACGCTTATATTCAAGTCACCAAAGATTAGAGTTGGAAAACCACTCCAAATTTCCAGGTATGAAAAGAGCCGTTTCCAAGAGTACAGTAAGTGCTTTTTATTTAACAAATGAAATGTGGACCAAAATATTGACTAAAGTACAATCTCTACATGTTCAACTAAAGCGTCTATATTAAATCTATGCATTATGCAGGAATGAGAAAGCTGGTCTAATGGACAAAATCAAATCCCAGAGTCAACGCCGAAGAGATTGTGATGTAATTTTCAGTCACAATAAATGTTCTAGCTGTTGAGGTCTATATGGCTGTCTACCCAACAAAACATGGATAACTTTAAACCTTAAATTTGCCTACTTTCTTTCACAACGCAGTCCAGACCAGATATTTTCTGTGCGGAGTTTCATAGAAAGTTTAAACATCTGTATAATGTATCACATGAAAATACCATCATTAAATCACTCATGGTTGGTTTATAAATAGTTATTTCACAATTCATTCATTTGCCACGTAGATCTGTCATTTAATTCTCTGGATCATGTCAACTTATTATAAACCCTCTAGATGGTACTTTAATGTAAAGCATTATTGTAGTGATATTCACAATAATTCCGTAAAAATATCACCCAAAAAGCATTGTATATTTAATTAGACATTTACAGTTGATTTTACAAATTATTTCTAGTTTTTTGCAAAATAAATAAAAATAAATAAATAAATAATCAAAGGGGCAATTTTGAAAAAAATGTACAGAAATATACTGAGTAATTTTTTGGAGAAGGGAGATGTTCTCTCTTCTTCTGAAAGGTTTGACTCCTCCATGTTATGACATCGTTTCCTGTGAACGGAGCTCTTTCCGTGCGTCACCTGGTGTCTTCATATTTCAGTTTTCCTTGACAGTCAATAGCGAATATGGCATTTTTACAGAGATTTATATAGATGTATATATATATATATATAT